ATGTAACTCTATCAGTAAACACATTTTTAAGTACCTGCCCCACTATATATTTTTTATTTACTTTGAAATTAATATGTATAGAACCCTGGTGGTGCAGTGGTTAAAGTGCTGGACTGCTAACTGAAGGGTCAGTGGTATAAAACCACCAGCGGCTCTGCAGGAGAAAGATGTGGCTTGGCAGTCTGCTTCCACAGATTTACAGCCTTGGAAACCCTATGGGGTCGCTATGAGTCAGAATCGACTCGACAGCAGTGGGTTTGGTTTTGGTTTGGTACTACTACAATTAAAAAAAAAAGAAAACCAAACCTGTTGTCATCAAGTTGATTATGACTCACAGTGACCCTCTAGGACAGAGTAGAAACTGCCCCAGAGGGTTTCCAAGGAGCAGATGGTGGATTTGAACTGCTGACCTTCTGGTTAGCAGCCAAGCTCTTTAACCACTGTGCCACCAGGGCTCTACTACTACACTAATATACACATAATCTGAAATTTTAAAAAGGACAAATAATCATGCTTATATATTTTTTCATTTATTTTAGAAGTTGTGGTATCTTCTTCCTGCATCCCCATAGAGTATGCACATTCACACTTTGGTAACCACTAGTCTGAAAGGCTGAAAGAATTCCACAGAAAATACCTAGTCTAAGTTTTCATCACATAGCTTCAAACACTCTTCCCTTATTAAAGTCTACCTTTCAACTTCCTGAAGCTCTTGTTAACGAGGCAATTTTTAGTTATCATTCACTATCTAACTCATGAACTAGAAGGCCAAAATATAATTGCTGGAAGCAACTACATTATTTTTGTTTTAAAGTAGGAAGATCTGAGTCTTACATAAAGCAAAACTCTGTGCTATGTTTTGTGCAAGTGTTTGCATATCTCTCTAATAAAAGAAAGTATTTTTTACACGAGAAATCTAAAGTGAAAAGATACAGAGTAAGATGTAGTAAATGGTCTTATTAACTTCTGTCATTTCATATACTATACAGTTATATATTTTAATGACTGTATTCAAATGAATGAATTTCAAGCACCCTTCACACAGCTTAAAGACTAAATCAAGCATCTTTTCTTTTCCCAACAGATAAAAAATGTAGAGACAACAGAAAAAACTTTTTGTACAATTAGACATTCTGCTTCCACTAAATGATTTACAAAAACAATTACTAAACACCCCTCTCAAGTGCAGACACTGCACTAGGCGTTGGTCTTTTCAAAATCTGTTAGAAAGTACCTTCAAGATCAAGGTCCAACAGCCAAGCACGGCTTGAATCAGCTCTACAATAGCACCACCAAGTGGCTGTTTTCGTAACCTATGGCTGAATACTTTCAGCAATAGGAACATACCTCTCAAGGCAGCCCACTACATTTTTCTGATACTTTCGATTATTTGAAATAAATAAATTGAAATAAATCTGCCTACTGGCCCTATTTTTATTCTCAAAAGCCACATGGAAAAATAATACCCCTCTTCCATGTGACAGCCCTTCAAATATTTTTTAAATGACTACTTTACACCTAAACTCTTCAACCATACTTCTCTCAGATGTATAATTTTTTAAAAATTACTCATGAAAACTTCCAAGAAAGAATGCAAACATGAGAACTTAATTCTGGAAGTTACAAAGGAGAACAATTTGCAAACTTATGCATAACCCCAGTTGTAACCTTCAAAGCAACCATTTAAATATAGACCAATATTTTAATGTCTTGAGTAAATTTACATTTTTTATTAAAAAAAGTCTGTAAGAATTCATTAAGATTAGCAAAGACTTGTTTGATATTTTAAAAATACTTTCTACATATGCATTAGACAAGTAAGTTTTCATTTTTAACTGTAACACAAATGATCAATTTAGAAAATTTATATTGACTGTCACTATTACCTTTTCAATGACACAATCTCTGAAATCCTTCAGGAAATTAACACAGAATCTCAGACTTGCAGATGTGAATCTGCATGTGTGCACACAATATTAAAAAGCAAAACCATAACTGATATTTCTTATACCGCTGACCCCTGGCTTAAAATGAATGATTTAGGAAACTAATCCTAACAAAAGAGTTTTCTTTTACTATAGTACCAATCAATCAACCAACATATTATATTTATATTTAAAGAATGTTTGCACAGTGAAGGTAGTTCTGTAGGTATTAGTCCAATGTTGTAGAAGTTAGTTTACAATCTGATACTCATCTTCAATACTGCCAGTTTCATAAATGGTATTTTCTGTCAACAAGACAAATGCAACCAGTACTAGACAAAGAAATGCCAATGCCAATTTAACTAATTCATAGTTAGCAAGCTGAAAAAACTGAAAATGTAATTTATATAACCTTTCACCATCATACACTAATAATATGTCACGTAATACGATTATTTTATTCTGAAAGAACGAAAGGAAAATTCTGTGTTGCTTTATGTATTGGCCTACTGAAAAACGGTTTACTTTAGTACAAAGTAAAGTTAGATGAATTTTTTTGAATGGACAAGCCATTAAATAAAATGATGGAATGTATTCACAGGGAGCATTATATATTCTATTGTTATTGAGCTCACTACGAGCAAGCATAGCTATGAAAGAAAAGTTACAGATAATATTAAATTGATTTTTAAAGTTTTACATAGAAAAAAATAGGCAATATTTGTTCATTCAGGAAAAAGGCAATCATCTTTATTGAGCCTACCAAGATTTTTCTGTTCTATTGCACCTCAGATTATTGGGCAACTCCAAGCAAGTTACTTAATGTCTCGTTCACATTTCAGCTATAGTAGTATTTATCTGGACGATATTCTACATAAAAGAATTTTCTATATAATGTATGTTTATCCTATTATGCAACAAAACATTTTGTACTTTAATCATTTTTATAGACATGTTCTAAAAGCCTGTATCTATTTCCCTGCTTTATTAACAAAAGAGCTGGCACTTAATTTAACCATTTCCTATAGATTTAGTTACCACATGAGCGTGAATTACTGTATTGCACAGTAGTACTGCTGCACTTTGATCTTATGTTTTCTCACCTCTGCTTGTTGACACTTACTGATGTCATCAGAGTGTGTCCTTGATGCTTCTGATGCCTAGTTGAGAACCTGAGGGTGGTCTATAGGCTCCTGGGCATAACAGGCCTGGGCTTTGTGACATCTGAGGCCATTTGCTCCCCCTCTTTACCTCCATGGCTAGTTTTCAAATGACTGACGTTACCGTAAGAAAACTACAGTAAAATAGGCTGACACTGAGAAGGGAGTTCTAAAGACCTCTAATTCCAGGTGCCTGTATATATGGAGTACAGCTCTACTCTGACACACATGGGGCTGCCATGAGTTGGAACTGACTCCACAGCAACTGGTATAAGTGGTAGTACATGGGAGTAGAAAAACATCTTCCCTAGGAGGGCAGCACTGACTAATTTGTAGAATACTACCTCCACTCCTTTTTCCTTAAGGAACTGGAATCAACTTGCGCATTCTAGCTTCTTCTATATTTTATATGATATTCTTCCTTCTCCAAATGATGTATCATATTTTACACAAATAATGCGCACCTTCTACGTTTGTTTGCCAACTGCACCCTCCCCCAGCAAGGTACTCTTGTAAACGCGCTACGCTAATTTCTTTTTTCACAGCAACATGTGAAAAAGATTGGAATAGCAGTGCTTATGAAAATATGTCATGGGCAGACGGCGTGGTTGGCAAACAAACATAGAAGGCACACATTATTTGAGTAAAAATACAGTAATAGCATACCCTGCACATCACTGCCTGCTCATCTGAGGCAAAGAGCGGAAACAAAGGGAAAAAAATAGCAGTATTGTCCAATATACATGGTGATACAGAGAGCTGAACTAAGGATATGACTAAAACTATAATACACGAAAACAATGTGTACCTAGCTGAAATGTATGTATATATGCCAAATATATGTAAATCAAACTATGAATCTGTGTTTATGTATGTGGGCGGTATTCAGAAGTTGTCAGAGTACAAAGACATAATTTTGTCAAGCTATTTATGAGACTAAACAACAGGACTTCTGAAAAGCATTGGGAATTCTCAAAATCATCAGAAGTATCTATAAGGCCCAGAGTATATAAACTAGAACTACAGAAAAATCTAGAGTTTGTTCTCCTCATGTATAAATTGAATGAATCACAAAATTAATTATCCAACTTTATTTTTCACTTTGCTAATTAAACATTAGTAACAGACCATAGGGGGGTTACCTAAGTAAACAGATGACCTACTTTTCTATACCAAATATGTTCTTATGATTCAAGTTTTAAAGAAACTATTCTAAGACATCAAAGATTAGTTGCTTACATAATAGAAAACACAACCCTCTTGGCAGCAACAGATTCTCACTCCTCTAAATTAATTTTATCAGGAAAAAGGAAAAATGTGAGGTGGCATTTGAGTAACTAATAAAAATTTATTATACTTCCAATTTTTCCTACTAGGCATAAGAAGAAACAAAAAGACATTTAGAAGATTAGCCCTATTAATCTAACTTGGCTCTAATAAATTACATATTACTACTTCACTTCTGCTAGATGGTCCCATCAAAAACTATTAATTTAGAGAAAACAATAAATAAGGTAGTAAGTAAGCAAAGACAAAATATCTCTGCAAAAAAAGGAGAAAAGTTATTCTATAAAATTTATCACTTTTTTCCATGTACAACCTGAAGTTATCCAGATAACATATCTCCAATATCCTGCAGCTGAGGAGTAATAGAGATTGCTGAACTAAAATTATTCAAGATGACAACTTTCTGTGGGCATCAGCCACTATGCATTACTGAGGAAGATTCTAGTGGTTTAGGGAATCATGAATTAAAGGATGTATTCTTGACTCTTTTGATCTTTGACCAAATAAATGATCCTGTCTCCCTATCTGCAAAGGGGAGGTGAGTTGGAACACTGTGAAAATATATTACTGTTAAAATGCTTCTAATCTTCAGGTAAGTGTTATACAAAATTAAGTACTTGATCCCTACCTTGTTTTAATTCCAAACCTTCAGGTTGCTTGTTCTCCCTCTGGGATGAAGCAGAATCTATACAGATGTCTTGTCTGAGGAATGAAAAGAAATAAAAACAATTTTTGAAACGACACTAAATCCAAATGATATTTACTGTCCAGGTTCCTAGAATTAAGTTAGGCATTTGGAAAGACACACTAAATTCTTCTAAGCCCCCAGGATAGCATTTAGTGCACTCTGGAAACGCAGAAACATGTATACAAGTGTCAGAAGTAGCAGCAACACCTACTGCCAATTTAAGACATGTACTTCTTTGTAAAATCAAGAGGCAAACCTGGAAGGAATATGAAGGTAATTTTTTCTCCCTTCTAATACTCTGCAGGGTAGGTGATGGGAGAAATCACAAAACACAGCAGTATCCAGTAATATTTCAAGTTCGACTGTTAAATTTAATGGGCACTTTGGCACTCAAATTATTTTATATTCATCTAATTTCATACCTCAAATACTTCGATGTCTACAGTCTGTGGGAAATGTGTATTTTATATGTAATATACATATGTAATCAAAGTAAATGATCAAGTGTAAGATCATGCAAAAAAAGGTTTTGATTCATCATGTTCTGCAACAGAACTATAAATTAAACTCACGCTCTTAGAGAGCGTTATACCATCTTAATGTTACAAATACTTCTCAGCTAACAAATCAAGTAATCAATTAATTTCAACTATTCAAGCAAGAAAAGTGACTATTTTCTATTAGTTTCCTAGTATCTAACCTTCTAAGAAGTTTTATATATACCCTAAAACTAATATACTAGAAATATTTAGGAAATTTTTCTACTCACAAAACTCTACCCACTTAACAGTAGCAAATGACTCAAATAATCAAAGAGGAAAAAAACAAAGACTTGTAATCATTTATTTTAGAAGGTTATCATATGCTTTCCCGCCCACATATTGGCACTTACATGTTTATTTTGTATCAAAACTTCACTAATTTAAGCAAGAACTCAAACACAGACTACAAAATAATTTGGACTTGGTATTAATTATGACATCTGAGAGATTTATAATTAAGATATCTCAGTTTTTTATACTTACTTCTAATGTCACCTACTCTTCTATTCTTTTACCAGAATAATTCATTGGTAAATCCCAAGGAGGGTATCAACAATGCTTCTTTAAAATCCAGGGAAAGATTAAATGCCAACATACTATATTAAGAGCTTTGCAAGGAATAAAGTTTAAATGTGCTACTTCAAGCCTTGCAGTCAAATTAAATTTCAGCTACTGGGAGCATTAATCTATTTCTAAGTATCTTTCTTCAGAAAAAATGTTTGTTTGCACTTACACATCCTTGAAAAGCACTTAATTCTTCTTTAAACACATACATCTAAATTTACAAAGAAATTACTTCCCCCAAAACATAACGTTACATCACCAACAAGAGGCAGATGGACATATGTAATGTCCTGAGAAGGACACATGACTTACATAATATTCTAGCTCAGAATGTATAACCTATGTTAAAGGAAACATCAGACAAACCCAAAATGAAAATAAGGAATGTTCTATTAAAAGGGTAAGGAGTGGATTTTTTTTTCAATGGTAATGTTATAAAAGGCAAGTGTGTAGAAATATTCCAGGTTAAAGGAGGCTAAAGAGACATGACAACTAAATACACAAACACACCTGAGACTGCTAACGAGAGGAGGAAAATGTTATAAAGAACATCACTGAATCGAACGACAAACCGAAATACGGACGGTAGATTGGATAAAAGTATTATATCAATGCTGACTGAGGTTGATAACTGTATTGTGGTTATAGGTAGAATACCGCTATCTGTAGGAAAAACACAATGTAGCATTCAGGGGTAAAATGTCATGATATATGTGCGTGAAATGTTTCAGGAAAAAATACACTCGCACACACATATGAAAAGTGTGTACGCAAATGTTAATTGGTAAACCTAGATAAAGGGTATATGAATTTTTTGTTCTATTCTTATTCTTGCAATATTTTAATGAGTTTTAAATTATTTCCAAATAATTTTTTTTTTAATTAGTAACAATGCAGTAAAACTAGCCTCTCTCTGAAAGTCCCTCGAAGCTCCTTCAAATAAAATTAGACTCTTCTATAGGGTTACTATGAGTCAGAATCAACTTGATGGCAACAGGTATAAAGACCATCTGCTGTCAGAAACAATTTCTTTTAGTGCCCAACGTGAACTTCTATAACATACTATCTATTTGATCTCAAGTTGGGTTTGATCAGGCTGTTGAAGAAAGTCATCAAATAAAATTTCAGATAGTAGGGGTAGGACACCACCGTGTGGCTGAGAAGTGAAAAGCTAGATGTTTTTGTATCACTATTATCAGAAGTTGAAAAAAATCCCAAGAGTTTAAAATTTTAAAACCTATACTAGCTAATTTTTCCAAGATGTAGACTTTACAACTAAAATTATCATATGGGTTCATAGTTCTGTGATACAATTTAAAGATCTTCATTAAACAGTATGAAAGGTGATACATTTGCAAAAAAGGGAAATGTATTCAAGTTTAAGAAAACTACAGCATGCACATGATACATTTTTATTTCTAGTTTTATGAAAATAAGAAAATAGTTACCCCTAGCAAATAAGACAAACTAGGTGCCAGAGTTAGGAATGACATTTAAACATTTCTATCAACCGTTTTTAAAACTATGTAAGAATTTTAAAACAACTGGAGAGAGAGGAGAAAGGAGAAGAGAAAGAGAAGATAGAAGAGAGGGAGACAAGGAAAGGGATACATAGGCAGAGACAGAGAGAGGTAAAGAAAAAGAAACAGAGAGAGAGAAGAAAACAGACTGTGCCAATGCTGGTTTGGGTTAACAATCTTTTTTATGATCTCTGTGCTACTCTCCATTAAAAAAAAAAAAACAACAACAAAACCTTATTTTTCTAATTTCCTTCCCCCATCTGCAGTGCCCCTTCTTCTTTAATGCAGCTTAATTTGCAAGCTTGGCCTTGGGTTATGACAGAGCCCTATATCTATCCTTGGAATTTAGGGTCTCAAATCAACATCAGTCCAACTTTTCCTTCATTCAAATACAGTTATCCACTCACAATCCTTTCTTACAACTCAGTGATTTTTTTAAACAGTGTAATACATTGGGGAGGTTTGTGGAACTTCACAACATCAAACGTGTATTACTAAAGGTTTTAAATGTATTCTAAACAGAAAAAAAAAGTCAATTTCTTATCCAAATGAAAAATACCGAAAGATGTCTCAACAGAAAAATAAGGAAACAGAACCAAACACGCACAGCCTGATTCTTCTCATTTTGATAAAAGTTAGCTGACAGAGAAGCAGGTAAAATGGTATCACAAAAGAAATAACCTCCAATTCTCTCCGCACTCCTAGGATTAAACAATAGAGACTGAGTGAAGCTGGCCTATCTTAAAAATAGGAGATGGGCAAGGAAACTAGAGCAGCCAAAACAATTTTGAAAAAAAATAAAAAGGACAAGGTTGGAGGACACAAACTATTGGATTTCAAGATTACAAAGCTACAGAAACCAAGACACTATGGTACTGGAGAAAGGATAAACATATAGATTAATGGAACAGAATACAGTCCAAAAATAGAACCAGATATACATAGTCAACTGATTTTCAACAAAGATGCAAAGACAATTCAATGGACAAACGATAGTCTTTTGAACAAACGGTGCTGATACAATTGAATATCTATCTAAATATGATTCTCAATCCATACCTTGTACCACATACAAATATTAACTCAAAGTTGATCAAAGACCTAAATGTAAATCTATAAAATTACAGAAGACACAGCAAAAATCTTTGTGAGTCTAAGTTAAGCAAAGATTTCTTAGATATGACATCAAGAACAAGATCTATAAATAAAAATAATTATACTTCACCAAAATTAAGAACTTCTGCTCTACCAAAGACATTGTTAAGAAAATGAAAAGAAAAGCCACAGACTAGAAGAAAATATTTGCAAGTTACAGATCTTATAAAGGACTTGTATCTAGACTATATAAAGAACTCTCAAATCATAGTAATAAGAAAGATAACAACCCAATTTAAAAAAATAGGTAAAAAATGAAGTCACTTCACCAAAGAAGATACATGGATGGCAAACACACACAAATGCAAACTAAAACCACAATGAGGTACCACTATACATATATTAAGATAGCTAAAATCAAAACCATTGACAAATGGAATTCTCATTCACAGTATCAGCTAGGATGCAGAACAAATGGAACTTTTCATACATAGCTGGTAGGAATGCAAAATGGTACAGCCACTGCAGAATATGCTTTGGCAGTTTCTTATAAACATATACTTACTATATGGCCCAGCAATCCCACTCTTAGGTACTTGTCCAAGTGAAATAAAAAAACCTATGTTCATACAAAAACTTGCATGCAAATATTTACAGTGGCTTTATCTGGAATCCCCCAAAACCGGAAATAACTCAAATGTTCCTGTATTCATTTTCTATTGCTGTCAAAACAAGTTACCACAAACTTAATGGCTTGAAACAACACAAATTTATTATAGTTTTGTAGGTCAGAAGTCAGGTATTGGTCTCACTGGACTAAAGGCAAGCTGTGTCCACAGAGTGTACTCTTTTCAGGAGGCCCTAGAGAAGAATCCATTCAATTCCTGAAGTCCCTATGTTCTTGCTGGCTTTAAACTGAGGACCAATTCCAGCAGATAATCATATCTGCAAAATCCTTTTTGCCATATAAGCTAACATTCACAGGTTCCAGGAATTAGGACATGGGTATCTTCTGAGGGATTTATTCAGCCTACCACAGGTAGAAAAATATTACATCTGTATTTTCACTAGAATTTAATGATCAAAACATTTTCTTCAGGTATTAGCAATATTTGTAATTTTTTCATGAATAGATTTCATAGATATTTTCACTTCATGATACAGTTGCTGCAGATATCAAAATATTATTTAGGCCTATCACTATTTTAAAGTTATCAAAATTACTGCTGCTAGATTTTATTAATATGTTGTAAGAAGTACCTATATTACCGTATCACAAAATATTTTAATTAA